GAAGACATCACTGTCTTGACATCTGAAAGGTCTCACAGGCACCGTTTTCTACGGCGGCGGTAGGCCTGCTGCCGGCCGCGGCAAAGAAACGATTCAAAGCGAACCCACACCCTCCTTCTTTAATTTTCCCTTCTCGCACAAGCAAACCCTTTATAAATAAACGGACCTAATTTGAACAGCTTGTCTTGCAATTCAAACACGAAACGAACCGCACGAAAAACGCCGTTCACATCTCCAAAAGTCGAGCAATTCCTTTGCTTATTAGTCGAGATTGTACAAATCGACCTCTCAGTCTCCACCGACCAAATCACCACCACACGGCACTCATGAGTCCACATCGCAGCCGTCCATTTCAGGGGACACCAAAATGGACAAATGAACAAATAAACAAATAACAAATCAGCATGCGCCACACCGTATACGTATACCTAGATACGGTGTGCGTATGATTCTCTTTTACTACGTTGCACGTACGCGTATCTACAGCGTAGGCTCTCTCCCACGGCCACACGGTTTACACGTGCGTGCTCTGCATTGCACGCGCAGACGGGCCTTGTTCAGCTCCGCTCCGGCGCCCGGTACGGCGTCCACGCGCCCAGCGGCGACGGCGTGCCCTTCCACACGTGCGCCGGCGTCCGCGCCGTCATCGCGCCCGGCGCGTCGGACACGCGCCACACCTTCACCGACCCGTCCAGGCTGCCGCTGTACACCACCCACCGCCGGTGCCCGTCCGCGTCGACGGACTCCTCCTCGTCCATGGCCACGCACTTGACCGGCCCCGTGTGCCCGCTCAGCACGGCCAGGCGGGAGTGGTCCGCGCCCTCGTCGCGCCGCCACACGGAGATCGTCCGGTCGGCGGAGCCGCTCACGACGACGCGCCCGGCCACCGCGAGGGACAGCACGGCCATCTTGTGCCCGCGGAGCGCCCCGCCGTTCCTCGGCGCGCTCTCCCGGTCGGCTCCGCGCCGCCACTGCCAGTGCGTCACGGCCCCGTCCGAGGAGGCCACGTACACCACGCGCGCCTCCGCCGCCACGGCGATGGCGGTCACCGCGCTCTCGCCCTTGCGCAGCACCCGCTCCATGACGTGCCTCGTGGCGCCGCCCTTGCCGTCCTCCCGCCGCCACACCTTGACCGTGCCGTCCGCGGAGCCGGTGAACGCCAGCGCGTCGAACCCCGCCGCGGCCACCGTGTTGACGGCGTCGTCGTGGGCGCGCACCGACTCGAGGCACCGCGAGTCGGACACGCGCCACACCTTGAAGGTCCTGTCCCACGACCCGGAGTAGAGCAGCCCGGCGTCGGCGTCCAGGCTGAGGCACGAGACGGCGTCGAAGTGCCGCAGCCAGACGGAGCTGTGCCGGCGGCGCGTCTCGATGTAGTGCGACGGCCTGACGGAGCTCCTGAGAAAATCCCCGAGCTTCGGGAGCGAGCCGACGCGCTTGTGCACGGCGGGGTCGTCCGCGGACGCGCGCCACACGCGGATCTTGCCGTCCTGGTGGCCGGTGTAAATCCTGCCGTCCCCGGCGACGACAATGGCCTTGACGAGCCCGCTCCCGCACTGGAACCCCGCGAACTCCCGCCGATCCCGCCACACCCGCACGTTCTTGGAGTCCGTGCCGGTGTAGAGCAGGTCTCCGGCCGCGGCGAGCGAGTACACGTGCCCGTCCTCCTTGACGAACGACCCCAGGAGCCCGGTCTCGTCCGCCGCGCCGGCCGTCAGCGCCGCCCCGGCGCCGAGCCCCGGGAGGTTGACCCACGGCGACGCGACGTACGGCGACGGGGACGCCGTGGCCGACGTGCTCGCGCTCCCGCTGGTGGTCGTGGGCGACGGCAGCGGGGAGCACCCGTCGTCGCTGGCTGCCGCCACCGCCGGATCCGGCCGCAGGAACTGCAGCAACTTCTTGTGATTCCTCATGGCACACAAACGCAACACCAGCCACCGACTGTTCAACAAAGTATCGAGTCTTTGCGACCTTGGAGCGATCGAACCGGCTGCCAAAACTGCTCGGTGAGAAACCGAGGAGGGAAGGGAGAAGGAACCGAGGGATGTCGAGAGTGACGCTTTGGCGGTTCGGCGGCGAAGAAGAAAGATTTTCGGCTGGGATGGCGCTGGTGCGCGGGATATATATAGCGGCGGGCCGGCGGGGGCGGTGGCGCCAGGTGGACGGCCGAGGTTTGGAGAGGAGAGGTTGCTTGGGCCTTTGCGGGGAGCACGTGGTCCGATGGGCCGGGCGGGACACGCGGCGGGCCGTGGACGGGGTGCCGTACAATGATTTGCATAGCGGCGCAGGTTGGGTTGGGTGAGTGGTGCAGTATCTGGTGCTGGTGGCGGTGGTGTGCCCTCGCAAATCGCACTGACCCACACGATCGATCGTACGGCGGGAAATGTCAACTTGGCGTCAGAATTTGAATGCAGTTCTACATCATAATTAAGCTTGGGCTACTGATGCATAGTGTGTGGATACGTTGAGTACTCAAGCAAAAGTCAAACCCAAATCGCTAGGAGCTGTACAGTACTACTACATGGAAAAAGATGGACGATTTGGCAGCGAAATCTCCAGGTTGCAAGGAAATCGTATCGGCAGCAACGCAGCTGCCGCCGAGCCAGGTGACAAGTACGCCGCGCGCATTTGACTTGACCTGCAAGGCTGCAACCACAGCCACACGACATGCCGGGTCTAATATACTAATCCCATGCACTAATTATAGACGCAGCACTTTACCTTTTGACAAAGTCTCGGATCACGTGAAAGCTATACGACGTCCTAATGTTGATTCAGCTCCTTGGGACGTGTTATAACTCGATCCTTCCCAGCCGTGTGGTGTGGAATCGACCTGACGTGTCGACCTGGACGACAGAGACGCTAAGTTAGCAGCTGGTACTACGTGCGTTGATGAGTTATTGCCGGGTTGAAAAACGGAAAACATGTGACAGTCTATCCGTGGGGAGAAAAATGGCTCCCAAGGATCGCGACAATGTGGTGAAAGTCACGCGCGACTGAGTGAGCATCGCTGGTTGATTTTGGATTAGGGTACGTATGTGTACGTACTCGTGATGTCACCTACGAGTGTGATTACTAGTACAAAGCGGGAATTCAATGAGATCAATGAAGCATGATTTGTGTACATCATACGAAAACTCATGCATGCATGTCACCCGGGTTGGTTTGACAGCTTCTAGAAGCTTCTTTTTCTTATAGGAGTATATGCGAGAAGCTTTATCATGCACATGCACCCGTACGTGTGACTAGGGTCCACGTGAATGCATGCACAACCAATGCATAGCTAGTGCCGTGGTGCCGCACTGCCGCCACAAAGCAGCACGCACGGTGGGTGGCCATACCTACGTAGTGTTGGCTGATGCAACCGCCCGACCAGGCGGCTGTTCCGTCCCCGCACTTTTCGGCTCCAAATATCTACCTTTCCGAGCTTTGTGATCTACGGGCAGGAGGAGAGGGAACCGCTGGCTCGGCGCCACGTGCCCCGGCAGCAGCACACCGAACCTCCCATTGCCATGTGCCATGTGCCACGCCCGGCAAAAGTAGATTCGCTCGCTCGCCATGGCCATCAGCCCACCATCATATCAGATCAGAGAGACGGACCGCGCACACTGTTGCTGCACGCAAAGCTAATAGTAATAGCCTAGGCCCGCCACTGGGCGCGCACTGGATGGATGGATGGATGGATACGCGGCTCCGCCGATGCGAAACGACGACGGCTCGATCGATCGACCCAGCGCCAAAAGTACGCAACCACCACACAACCCACAGATCTAAACCAACAGCAGATCGCGCGCGCCGCTCGGAGAGCCGACACGTCGCCGGGGGCCGGCCGGGGCGCCGCGACGACAGCGACCGCGCCTGAAGTGACGGGCCGGCGAACCACTCGCGTCGATGTTTTCCCAGTTTTCGGCTTCAGGGTCTCGGGCGCGCGGGGCTTTTCTTTCCGGCTCGTCGACCGATCCGGCGAACCCCTGCCGTGCCGTGCGGCCGCGGTCAGTCAGCCGATGAGCTGGACGGATGTACATACAGACTTTCACCGGTGGCATGTATGTGCGCCGTGTCGAGCCAATGCTACTTGTTTCACCTTGGAGGCGAGGCTATCTACCCCGATCGCATGTTTCGAGCGGACGACAACGGTGGACAACGACCGGAACAATGTCGAC